CCTGTCTCCTTGATTCTGTCTTGAAACCGGGTCCAGGTGGGGAGTGGGGAAGAGAGAGGGTGCGGTAGATTCTGCGCAAGTCTACACTCACTACAAGCCAATTCACGTGCAGGCCACCCTGTCTGTTGCAATTTTCAATGGAGCACACGGTGGACGGCGTTGGAATCGACGATCAAATTGTGTGTGCAATAAACTACCAACTCCAGTACAAAGTGCAAGTGTCTACTTCTGTCTCGCAATCAAGGTAGATCGGTACACGCCAACTGCACGTGATAAATCTTCCTCGCTTTCGTATGTGGCATACCCATGGTGTGATCAGGTCTATCTTATGTCTCAGTCATCAAGAATGCTTGCTGCATTGCGTACAGCATGCCAGAAAGTTAAACAAATCTGCTACTCCGGGGCATCTTCTCGGCGCTGGCAACGGACATCGAGACACACCAGTCCTAGGCTTACAAAGGGCGTTTGTCCGGGCTCTGTAACCACCACCTGTAAAATCGATCCCGCCCACCCTGCCACATTAAACGGAAAACTCCTCACCAAACAGCTTGCTGCGACTGTTACCTGGCCGTGCACGTCCATTCACCTCCATCCTTTACATCCCAGCTTTTAATTTGCACTTCTCCTCCCCATCCTTCCCCACAGCTCGTCCTAGCGAATGAACACTGTGCATCTTAATCGGCCCTATCAACACCATTGGCTATGCCACACACTCACATACCACAGACCTTTTATCGTCATATATAAAGTTAGCAGGCTTGACAGTAAATAATAACGCGGCCAGCAAGTGGTGAAACGTAGCGGATATTGCATGGGTTATTTATGAAATACTTTATTATGCGCGGCCAATCCGTGGTGCCTTACTCACAAAAGAATAATCCTAGAAAGAAGAAAAGGAAGGAGAAACCTTAACAGATGAACCGAACAACGTGATGTTTCCTCATTTGCATAAGAGTTACGTGACAATCAGGTTCAAGCAATGACGGAAGGACGCTGGTGGTCCACCTTGAGTAACAAACTTGTAGAACACATTCCACACAAGATGTCGACCTGGAAACCCATATACTCCCAAAATGAGGATTCGGCTGTAAATATGCCGAAAAATTGGAACGTCAATTGTCATCTGCGGAAAAAGTGTTCTCGAGAGCTGTCTCATCTCGATAGTGCTTATATTCAATGAATACAGAGGCCTATTCCTCTAGTAATTGGTAAAATAAAATCGGAATGGACAGATGCCCAAAGAAATTTGAAGAATGAGGTCAGACTTAACGGTCTCAAGCGTCTGCGGGAATAAAGGACAAATTTGTCAAAACGAACTTCCCGTTCTACGACTGAAAGGGAAGTAATTTTATTTATTTTACTTTTGATCTCTTCATTTTTGGGTAGCCGTTTTCTTCTAACACATGTCTACGGCAGTTTTTAATCTTCTAAATTCCCCGTACAATAAGTCCAAAAACGAACTTGGTTCTGTCAAAGGCAAATAAACATGGGCAACACTGGATTGAAAGCTCTTGTACATCCAGCAACGTCCTTCAGCACTCATATTCAAGTGTTCTAATTTATGTCTTTACGTGGACAGAGTTGAATCCGCAGGCAAGTTTTATTAGAAGTTATTGCCCATGTCCTCCATAGCTTTGTTATTTCATAAATGTGCATACCTTCGGCAATACTAAGGTAATAGGTCATCGAGTCGTTTGCGATTTACGCATCTTCCTAACCTCGGTTTTTCAAAAAAGGATCACTTCTGAGAAACTAAATAACCAAGTAAAGGGCATTTATCGTGAAGTCTTAACTGACATCCCGATTACTTTCAGTCACTGGCTGATCTCGTGAAATGTTACCCGAAATTCTGGAAGGCGTTTTCGATTAGGAAGGGTTTCTTAGGTTGGGTTGTGTTATTGAATATCTTGCAGCATAAACTCAGGATATTTCGTACATGTCATGATGCACGCTTCTGAGTGCGTTCATTTTTGTCTGTCTGCAAAAGACGTTGCGCATTTGTTTCCTTTTGCCTTTCTATGCGTATTTACTTTTAAACATATTTTGTAGGAAACAGGCGTAAAAATACCCTTCCTTGTACTTACTTGTTCTTGGTATTAAATCAGTAATTACTTAAACTTCACGGTCGAAGAAAGCGTATCTCTCGATTTAAGAAGAAGTCTCTAGTTAGACGATTTTCAGGACTACACAGTGTCCAATCAAATAGCATCATGCTGGCCCGCTTTATAATGCTCCTTGTGAAGTATACAGCTTAGACTACACTAATTTTAAAATTTTATGAGTCCTACTTTGTATCCTCTTAGGGTCACGGAGGAATATAGGGTTTTCCTTACATGGAAATTGCACAGCTTGCAGGTTGAAAGCCTTAAAGGAAAATGAAACGGCACATCGCGTTCAAAATTACCCGAGATTTAAAAAAACTTAAGACGCAAACATACCTTTTCTTCGAGTTTAAAATATGAAGAAGACTTGATTTTCCATTAAGAGAGCACAAGAGAGAATACTTTTGTGAAAGTTCCCTATAAAATATATTCAAATGTATAAACGCAAAGAATGGTAATGGAAAAATGCACACTAATTAAATAGAACTTTTTTTACAGAAATGTCTTTTGCAGATGGCTAAAAAGAAAAGTATTCAAAAGCGTGCATGTTGGTGTGTCCGAAATTTCTAAGGATTATGCTGCATGATAAGCTACATTGTGAGCCCGCTTAAGTAATCATTTTTAATTGTGAACGCATTTCATAATTGCGGTTTACATTTCATAAAATTGGTCACTAATAATGGGTGCGGTTGTAATATTGATCATCGTGCAGCGTAATCACAAAATATCTCGGTGAAATTGGAATGCCGACTTTTGAATGAACTGCGTTTCAGCCGCCTGTGAGGTCACGCATAAGCACTTTGTCTTTTTCCGTCGATCTTAGATAACCCTGAAATATTAAGTATTTAAGTACTCAAGTCCAAAGAATATCTTCCACTGTTAAAAATGCTTTTTAATTCCCGGTTAATTTCAAACCGACTTGCTGTTTCACCTATACTTTGGGTTTCCAAACTAAAAACTGTTAATTTGTCCCCAAAAGAAAACCACCTAATTCTCTACACTTCTATGAAGCTGCTATATGGGGATCATAACATTTTTCAGTGGATATAAACCGCATTTTATACTTCTTTAGAGCATTTATAAACAAACATAATGGTGGTTAAATAGACACTTCGTTTTTTAAAAATATCCCATAAATACAACTTTGTAAACTAAATGATACCCTCGTTTCGAATGTAGGACTTCAAGAAGACTTAGATATCTACCAAATGAGCACAAGGACAATTTTTGCATACTTGGTATGAAATCTGTTCGGATGCATGGGACAATCGAAAATCAGTGGAAAATTAATGCTACTTAAGTAGTCGTTTTGACGGGTGCAACTTTTATAGGTGACCGAAAAGAGGCGCGTTCAAAAGCCGGCATCCTGGCGTGGATGGCGTAGCCTAGGATTAGTGCTGCACGATGATTATCACTGGAACCCTGCTCAAGTAATCCATGCCAATTGAGAACGAGTTTCAGAGTTTTGGTTAACATGTTATGAAATACTCCACCTGCTGCACCTTCAAGGGCTTTCCTTTTTATGTTGACTTGGGCTGCCTAACTTTCCGTCAAAAGGTTTTGGACGATATTTTAGGGCCAGGTTCTCAAGTTATCAAAATGCTTCGGTGAAGTTTGACGTGTTCGGCTGGTTGAGGCATGCCGTTAGTCATTTAGACTGAACTATACAAGCATACGCGGCACAATTTTTGCTTGAGCAAATTTTATCAGCTCTGTCGCCGAAGTGAGATATTGGCAAACTCCTATGGACAAAACAGCGAGATTCAATGGCATGGATATTTGTTAATACTGACTGACGAAAAATTATAGAGCCTAGTATGAGCAAGCAATTTTTTACAAAGCATCAAAGAGGCTATACTCATTGAAAAACTGACAACCAATTCGCTACAACCTACGAGGAGATCACTATTGCATTATCTGCTCAGGCTGCGTGAGCAACCGGCCTACGCACAGAGCCTTACTTCTAGCTGAGTATTATTCTTGGCCAACTGGAGTTCTTGTATCGTCAGGGTTATGTTGCCTAGAAAGTTCCAGAGTTGTATTTCCTACAACCCGTACACCGTGGGCTGTTCACTACAAAACGCATCCAGCTCTTCGCGCAGCTTCTGCAACGTCAGCATGTGTGTGGTTTGTTCAACAGAGGAGTACATTTAAACGTGGTTCCCTACACAGTAAAATTCATGAGTGACCGACTGTTGGCTTTCTTTGCAAAAATTTATAGTTGTCAGGTTCAGAGCCCATCTGCATCCTGAACAAGCAATGAATGTCGGTCCTTAAGAAGTGTTACTTCCAAAGGTCAGGTCTTATGGAATAAATTTCCCAACTTCTTTGTGTAACTCGATTTGAGAGTCGAGGTGTCAAGACTGCTACCGTTAAGCTTGGATTCGCCGCATCATCGACACAGCCGTCGAAAAACGAGCTTCACCCACAGGGAACTCCCTACATGATCCCGGGGAAACTGATGAAATCACTCAAAGTGCTAAATGGCTATCACGAAAAAAAACTAGACTCTTTCTCGGGAATCCATTTTACCTATACTCACTAAGCACATTGTTTGGTCATATTTTTGATTCGTTTACACCGCGAACATATACTATTTAATTTGGAGCGATTTTTGTTGATCTCCACCGCCAGCCGTTCCTTTGCCTGTTGTCAGCCTTCTCACCAAATCCTAGCAGGTTTAACTGAAACTTTGGTGTCAATTTAAGATGAGCGAACTGGTGAAAAATTGCAAAAATCTTCTCCTACTCTACCCCTGCCGGTAATCTCCTCAATTATGAGTGCTACTTCGGACCAAACCCACAAACTGTCCACCTTTAGCTAATTTCCTGTTGAAACATGCCCTATATCTGTCCTTACACGGTGACATCCAGCGAAGGAATGTCAAACTTCTATCCAAATCCAGGTATGCTAAATTATATGTCAGCCAGCAGAAACCTGCATTTTTTCAGCTCCTCTCTAGGGGAAAATGTTGAGGGGATCAGTCGGAAGGCCTTCTCCTCGGATATCAAACTGTGCGGTCAAATAAGGGCTTTTAGGACACATTGTTAAAAAACTGATAATGCAGCTAAAAGAGGACATCGCTCAGTTTTTTCTCCAAAATATGGGTGCTTTGTTGCAGAGCTCCAACTTTTATCTGCAAATTTGGGGACGTTTAATGGCGTTCAATCCGTTGACTAACGACCTAACCGATTTCGCGAAGTGACCAGAAACCTAATACCCTTTGCCTACACGATGCGATCACTCGCTGTTTACGATAGTAAAACCGGCTACCTTGTTGCTGCAACAAATCAAATCAGCTTAAATAATTTTTGTAAGATTTTACTTTAAAAATCTGTAAGGTTGGTAAGGAAAGGGCAGAAGACAGGAAAATATACTTGCAACATTTCTTTTAGAAATATGCAGGTTGAGTAGAAAGGAAACCATGAAAGGGATTAAACAGGAACTTCTCGTACCTGCTGCGCTGTTGCTTCGAAAGCGACATCGAAATTCAGTCACAAATGACAGACAACTATTCTACGGGTTTTGCATACGTGTAGTTCAACGTCTGAGGTCTTCTATATATTATTGGACGTGGTGTGCATACACTCAGATAATTTTAGGAGGTTTTGGTGAATTGTTTACAAAGACAGAGTTGTCAAGACAAAATCGAAATGACAAACGTCTTGGCTGACAACATTTGCATGTAAGAGGTGTTTCCCTTGCTGATAAGTAAAAAGTTATTGACTTTAAATATTTCGAAGCCAGTAGATAACGGTTAACACATAGAAGGGGAGGGAAGTTGAGAGAGCTTAAATGTCCCCAAATATTCCGGCAAACGTCTTTCTCAAATTCTTCATTGTGTCGTCAGCATCCTCGTTGCTTGTCCCTGAAAGAAGAGACGTTTGTCTCGGTGGTACAGTAGGCCGACTGACAGCTGGCTGAGACGGTTGTGCGGAGCTCCAAGGACCAGTTTTAGATTTCTCAGTCGTTGAATATGCTTGTTCTGTGTTCCTACAACATTGTGGACAAATAACGGTAAAATTGGACCTGCGATTCCTATATCAGATAGGGTGTGAGGTGTACTGCATGCTTACCAGGGAGGAATGGCTTGTTGAAACAAATTGATTGTATTTCTGACGTTTTAGAGAGTTTGGTTGACTCTCCATTGTGAAAATCGAACAGTATTTTGGATTGCATGCCAAACTACTCCGCTTTGGTTTGGCCAATGTTTTTATTTTTTCAGCTTCTCGAACTTTTGGTGGATGTCTGACAGGTTTTTGAGTACCCGTGTTATTAGTTGTCATTTCGACAGAGGGTAGTGGGGCCTCTGTTAGAGGTGTTTGGTCCGATGGTATCATTGCTTTTCCTATCGGCATGAGTTCGTTTTCAGGCTGTTCCGAGCACCGGAACAATTTGTTTAGCATTCGTAGCTGTCGAACTAGTGCAGGCGTTCGTCGTCAAAAGTAGGCGCAACAACACCAGACAATCAATGGTCAATGACCTGAGCCCGGAGGTTACTGCGCAGGGCTCTGTACGTCGGCGCCAGATCGATGTGCCGGTTGACTTACTTCCTATCCGAGACTCAAACTTCAATCAGTTATCGATTTGTCTTGCATCCGACGTGGAGGATTATCTTGACGGCTGAGAAGTTGAACTTATAGCCCGTTTCGTAGGTGTGGGCGGCCACTTGCGATAAATCGCCGCCCGTCGCACAGCCAGCTTACGTTCACGTATGCGCGATCCGAGCATGCTCAGTCAATTGATGCATCCATTTGGCGCCGGCATACAGAGCCCTGCGCAGTAACCTAGGGGCCCCCGTCGTTGTTCGTTGATTGTCTTGCACTTCGTGTAAATGTGGCTTGTTCTGTTGCTGCGATTACCTCTGGCGATGAACTCCTACACGAGTTTGACAGCTCTGAATAATAAACAAAGTGTCCCGGCGCTCGATTAGTCTTCTACTCTCATATAAACACTCGGATTGCGAACATTGCAAAGTACACGGGACTTTGCATGCCCGTGGAAGGATTCGCCATCCAAAGACCAGGCCTTATAATACGAGCCTCTCTATATTTGAGGCTCCTTGGCCTAAGATGGTTGCTCTTTAAAGTTCGAAAGCCTTGTTAATCTATTTAATGCACGTTGCAACTTTAAGGTTGTGGTCCGATATCTGAGTTGCCATCATGTGCTCGCGTACATGGACAAGCAGTTTTCCCACGCTAGTTTCATACGCTGTTATGGTGCCACATTTTCCAGCCCACTGCCAAGGTTTCAGCATGCAAGCGTTTCTTTAAATGGCTTCTGTCGGTTGTGAATCCAGCGAGACCCGAATCTGGGGTTAGGTACGGATGACTGACGACGGATGACAAGACAGAACTGATCACCCCAGTCTCGCCTGTCTTTTTCAGCACCCTTTCATCGAGCAGATGAGTTTTCGCGACAGAGGGGTGTCCTGTTAAAGGGCAATATACGTCCGATGTTGGTGACTGCTCTGTGGGCTGTGGTTTGCAGTTCTGCGGGTGTGCACCTCAGTGTGAAGATTTAGACGAAGAGAATTCGGTTGATTGTTTTCTCCTCCATTAAGAATAAGATATATGAGTCAACGGAATCCCATCTAGAGTTCATTGTGATTTTTCTGCCAACAACGAAAGTGTTATCGGCAAGAATGGCAGTCTTATTAAAACTGTGCAGGCACAACCTGGACGTTTAGAGGGAAGCTGACTCCCTTTTTTTGTTTAGACGCAATAAACTTTGGATTTTTTAAAAGAATATAAGGGAAAATAATGTTAATACATACAGCAAAGATAAGGCTCCAAAAATTTGGATTTGCATAAACTTACTGGAAAGACATGTTATATAGTGAACTTAAGTTCATTAAGGTACTCTGAGAGGCTGATTTTCTGTCATGGAGTAAGAGTAGCGCTTCATAAACAGATGATATAAAAATACCGCGGCGTCGAGTGCTATGGAGAAAGTGAGACCCCGATTTGCGCCTCAGGAAGATGAAAACTCTCGAATAATTCTAATTGTATGTCTGCAAAGCCCATTCCTATTTAAAATCATACCATTTCAGTGTCTTTTGACCAAGACAGCCGGCGTTATAGTTAGTTGCATTCCGATTGCAGAATATCTCCTTTAGAGTACTGCTTGCACTCATTGTTTGGAAATACTCACGCGAGCTCATAAAGGCACTACCGAACGTATACGTAAGCAGTAGTGAAAATATGATTCCCAGACGGCGTGGCAAAAGAAAAAGAAAAAGCATTCAGTGGGTGAGGTTCATATAAAGTCTGGCGTTCCGAGCAGTGACTTTGTCTACCAATCCTCAGTGACTGGAGGCTCTTGCGCACAGCTATCATTATATTGGTGAGCTTCGCTTGGTACATAGCCCGCCAGTGCTGATTATGTGGCTGAATATGACTCAGTTTATCGTGATTTATGTCTCCACTGCCCTCGTTGACCGCGCCGATAACTGTCGGCTCCCGATTATACCACGCCGTCATTGTCTCCCCGTAGAGAAGGCTCATAAAACTATATGGCTGGGAGGGCGGAAAATTGATGTGACGATTGAGTGAGCAGTCAGCAAACGTGCAGGCTCCTTAGGCCTGCCGTAGTGGGATCATTGACTCAGCCCCCAATCTCAGCGGCCTCAAAGTTAAAGATACAGTTGTAAAACATCTTTTGCCGGACGTTTCCGAATCGGACCAGCTGCAGTCATTCACATAGTTGTATGCTCTAACGTAAATGGAGGCCAGCATGCTACTCTGAGAGTTCTCTAGTGGCGCATATTGAAATTATACTCTGCCTAGTTTGACTGGCCAGGTAAACGTGGATGGGTAAGTGCATCACAAGAAAATCTAATCTTGGATTTTGACGGCCGTTTTGCGAACGTTTTATGATTTGTCACTTTTTTGATTATGGAGATCGTGTCGGATGTTTCCTCGGGGACGACTAGTATGAGGGTGTGTGCTGTTACCACGATCAGTCAAAGGCTGATCAAGTGTCCTTATACCACTCCCTCCGGGTAGTACATTGGAGATGAAAGTTTTGTAGGATAATTTAGCCCTTAAAAAGTGCAGTAAAGATGTTGGTGTCGACCACTCTTTATCAGTCGATGGATAGGAATTGGAAATACCCGAAAGAACAATGGCTAGGTGTATCTTTACCACAGGAACAACGGTCTCCTGAAGACAAGGACAATGATCCTGATGGCAGTAGAGTGATTGATACATGCATACATACATAATACATAATATTTGATTGTGTCTTTAGTGCTCTGCTGACCATAGGGAAGCACTCTTCCTCAACTTGAACGTTCGTCCTAAAATCAAGCATTTACTAGAGAACTGGTAACTGACACTGCCAAAGAAGTCGCTAATACAAGTTACTCGTTCTATTCGGTTAACCTCCACGGTTCTCGGCTGCACTGCGGTGGTTTCATAGCAAAGCCCACAACACCGCCTGCAAAACAGAGCAGCAGTCGTCGTCGTCTACAAGACAACTCACTTCTGCAATGACAGGGAAGAGAAATCATCCACGAGGCTGCTTGAGGCGGACGGCCTGTCTCCAAAGCTGTGCATGGGCTTAGTGGTGTCACCGGCAAGGCCTCCTTCCCGACCTGCCGACTGGTTCTGAGAAACACCGCTGCCGAACATACTGCTTTGAGAAGTGCTGGCTGGTTTGGACGAAAAGAAGCCGAGAGAGCTATCAAAGGGTTTCGTTGTCGCCGTCTCTGCAAGAGGAGCGAAGGGATCAAAGGCTGATTGTGAGACCGTCGTAGAGAAGCTGGTCGTCATGGTGGATTTTGCTGGGGCTGAGACCGCACCGCTGTTCGATGCTGGCTGCTGCACGGCCCAGGGGTCGACCTCGACGCGACCCGCAGGCGCTGTCGACAAGGTGCGGTCATGCAAGTCAAAGCTCGTGCCTAGAGGTGGTATTGGAGACGTCTTGGCTGCGGCGGAGGCCACAGAGGCGGGAGAGGTCACTGTGTGCGTCATTTGCATCGGTGAATCAATGGACGCAGGGCTGCTAACTCTTGGTGTATTAGTCACACAGGTCAACGGTTCTGCGACTTTCCTGCAAAGGAACAATAAATGTTCAGAGGGGTGAGATGACACTGTTGTGATGCCGTCTTGTTGGCATCGTCTCCACATGTACTCACACAGTAATGATTTGATTTAGTGCCGAGTGTGGTGTACCTTATTAAAATAACCGAATGCCTCCAGACCATATCATCTGTAACTGCATTTTATATAATGTTCTTCAGTCACTTGCTGAGCTTCTCGGTGAGCGTCCTCTTGGAAGTCAATGCTATTTCTTCTCCCAAGCGACTTTTGTTTTATAAGTTTTGTTCGTTTCGTAAAAATCCAGGACCTTACCTGCTACATCCGGTGAAAAAATGCAAATAGTTTTTTTCGAAATTTCTCAATGGGAAAAGTCAGATGGTTTTTGAAATGTACTTCAGTCTCCTCGTTTTACTTACCTTCTTTGATTCCTTCATATGCCTGATGTCATCTTCGAAACAGCTCTTCACTTGGCTAAGATTGAAAGTGTATTTTATAATAAAGAATTAAAACATTTCAAGTGTGTCTAAACGGCCTTCTCGTGGTTGATGCAAAATATTCAGTTGTTCCTTAAAGAATGACTTCTAAATGTACTGTTTTCTCACAATCCGGGTTATATCAGAATGAACTTGGTGGGACGACGTCCCGCCTGAGGAATGGAGCATTTTAGCATAAACTCTGCATATTGTCTATTGTAATGGGACTGTTAATTTTCCAAAAGGATCCCTTCTTAACGTGACTTTCCCCTCCTTTTTTACAATCATAACGGCACACGCAAACCCACACTGTCAAAAAACTACGCTTTACGGCCTTAGAAACTGATTGCTAGGCAAATTTGGAGAGTCCACATTAAGGCCAATCGTTCGGAGCAGATTTTGAAGAAACAGCGTTCGTCTAATTGGAATGATATATATATAACAATTGGTCTTATAATTGTAAAAATGGCAGTCTCTTACAGATAACAGGCTTTTAAATAACGAAACAGTTCTTTGTACCAAGTGAAGAAAAAATGATAACACGGCTTACTTTTTAAATGGAATACCCACTAGCCTTCAAAAATGGTAAGTTCGTTCTGATTTAAGTGCTTCCGGTAGTCTAATCACACATAAATGCAACAACCTATCGATAACCACTTTAAACTTACGTCATACTAAATTGCACCACTTCGCTGACTGTGCACAACATTATCCGATCTCTGAAGAGGGTTAGCTGAATTCCTAACACGGAAGGACACAGTGCAAAAGTACTTCTTCAGATAAAGGTCCCCTCCTGTTTGGATATTTCACGACTTCTCCAACTGGATTTAATCATCGTTAAAATGTCCCGACGAATAGTGAGAATGGGCGGTGTTATCTTATTTAAGCGAAATGTCTTACATACAAGAAATGTATTTTAGTTTTGTTCAGTATGTCCACTACCAAACCGATTTGGGAAAGTCATTCTCCCAAATTTTTATTCGTAACACATAAAAACAATTCGAACCCATAACGACAAGCACAAGGCTTGAGTGCAGCTAACGCTCTAACCACCTGGACTATGAGAACCCAGCGGGGGCCGTGAGGGTGAAGTTCGAATCACACGGAAACCGCAGAGCTTTTCACAACTGGGTCAAATGAATTAATCAAATCTGCCAAAAAACACGTAAAAATCACTAATTCATTTCGAGCATAGTGGTGTGTAAAAGACTTGATTATGCTGTTTATCCAAAAAAGAGGGAAACATGTATCAAAAAAGTGCTAGTACTGTAGATAAGAGGGCATATTTGGCGTGTGGAGCACTAGAACGACAGCCACTGTGCTGGTGAAAAAGGACGTACGCAGCAGGTGCACGGATGAGCTCCTCCATTTTCTGTAGAACGAGCTCCGCTATCCGCATTCGATCTTCCTCCTGACCATCACCAAGCAAGGTAAATTCGGAACCAAAAACCTGAAAGAATCATTATTGCTTTCTGTTAGGCCCTTAAAGGTAAAAAATTCGTACACACAAACTATAGTAAATCGTTAAATGAAAAGTATTCACAGCTCCTTCTTCAGGATATCTAGAGTCCACCGTTCAGGCGCAGAACAGGCTTATAGGCGCTCCGTGTAAGTAAAAAGTCCAATTAGCTCATTAAATTTTTCTCTGCCTCAATAACTATTGCGTATAACCACTGTTGGGTTGGCCGGCTCTACGCTCCACGCGCCACGAGCTTTTGTTGATCATTCCGTGCGATAAGTGGGCAAACACTCTCTTGTCCTCATCCATCTGTCACTTTACTCCCGTGAATCAGGGTCATTGGGATCCAACCTTCTCTCTGGGGCTGAATAAACTACATCTGCCCAAATTTTCACTTAATCACCACATCTTTGGCTCCAACCTAGACAGCAGTTCTGAAAGCTGACGCTGTGAACAAGACGGATCACCGAGTCGACTGTATTTTACTCCATCACAAGGAGGGAGTGAATTCTATAAGCATTTGAATCTCATGTTCAAGACACGGCATGCAGGTCAAATCCGCAGTAGTTGCCGGAGTCGCCCGTTGTTGAACCTCGCAGTCTTCCCTATGTCACAAGTTTGCAGATGCCAAACTTCGAAACCGTTTAGCGGGAAGTTTTGGCCCTCATGCACTTAGATATCTCCTGTTGGACCTCACACGGTTACGTCCACCGTCAACAAAACATGCAGCACTCTAGTCGTCTGCGGCGGATTCAAATAGCGTCACAGAGCTTTTGTACGAAAAATTGGATGCATCCGAAAATAGGTATTTCAGTCTCTTCTATTTCGCTGAGTCAGACCTATCTTTAAAGACAGAAACGTACTCAACTATTATATTACCATTTATTAGGCATCCGCAAAACGTGATTACGCCGTCGATGACTGAATTAGATACTTAGAGGGGCATACGTTTTAATAAAGTTTTTCCGATGTATCCAATCAACAATTACCCAAGCAACAATCGTTCAATCATTGACCGACATTTTTTATTATCTGCAGCACTAATTTCTCGATCGTATGCTGTAAAATTCTTTGTCCCTCATCCCTTCTCGGGCCCATATTTTTAGACATGAAAATCGAATGGGGTCAGCCGAATTCAAACATGTTGTCCTGTTTGCAGTGCCTATCTTCAATGAATTCGAAGGCCATCATTGTAGAAGAATCTTGACGAGGCATCCGGAGGACCCGCAAAACCCCACACTTAAAGCAGTGTCTTCCTCTGTTGTGAAAATATTCTTAAAATAGTTTGAACATTGTAGGCCATTTGAAATAATTTGCCCTATGAAAGGAGACCTTGCTAGGAAGAATGATCTCCTGTTCCCAAAACACTTTCTGCCCTAGGCTAATTCTAAAGTCACGTTAATACCCTCATCAGGGGTTTGCGATTGTAGTTGTAACAAAAAGAAAAGGGAGAACATATACTTAAGGACTGACATCCTGGATGAAGTATTCGCCGTTTGTGTCCTGAACCACTTTGATTGAACACATATCCAGTCCACCGAAGAGAGAGGCTACTTCATTAATCCACATTGCAAACCTGTTAATGATAAAAGGATGCATTCGATATTTAAACTTGGTTATGTATCTTCCCAGGAGTAAAATGGGCATTTTACCTCCCGAAAATAGCGGAAATTCGTAAAAGTTGCAGTGCTTAGAAGCACACAGTAGGCACGCCAGCCGAACCTCGGAATGTAGGCAAAATACTGTGCAAAGGATTCAAGACTGCGCCCTGGTCTGCTGATAAGATCTAGCTTTCCAACAAGGCCATTTAAAATTAAGCAGGTCAGTATAAAGAGAAGATCGTTTTCAACAAATTGACTCTTGACTTCTTTAATGGCTTATTTACAGTATGACAGAAGACAAGCCTCTAGTGTGTAAGACCACGTTCTTATTACTACGTAATTGGCTACCTGTGTGATTTAGGCAGGCATGCAATGCCGCTAGTTGGAACCCAATCAGTAGATTCTCGAATGACTCTATGTGCTGCTGTTAAGCCTCTGGGATCGTACCTAGGACCATGATATTTTTGCTGGGGAAGGAGCCGGTAGCGGACAGGCTAAAGGTTCGGTCGGGGAGGCGCCTAAAGGCATAGGCGTGCCACCGTTCAGACAGTCTAAGGGCTGTTGTGTGGGATGAATTTTGTTCATGGGTTTACGACTGGGATTCGGGACGAGAGTCTAAAACTAGGGTTATGGTAAGTGGGAGGCTTAATTAGAAAGTTAGAGTTGGTTTCAGAGTTAGGGTTATTTTGACGTCGACGTTAAGGTTGAAGTTGCTTCTAGAATCGGGGTTTTGGTTATTCTTACTGTTATAGTTGAGGTTAGCTTAGGGTTTTGGGTTGGAGTTAGTTTTAGGATTAGAGTTCACCTATGGGTTAAGAGTTAGGTCAGTTTTAGGGTTAGATCTGGGGTTACGGCTACGGTTAGGGATCGTGATTTTATCCTTCTGTTAGTTTACTGTCTGCTGACAGAGTTTTTTCATTTGCGCGCCAATTTTGCAAACTGAATTGGAGTATTTAAACAAGATTCTGTTTATGTAATGTTTTCCTTTATTCTCTCCTCCAAAGTTCTGTTCTTGTTGCCATTTTTTCCCACCCACAAAACCCATAATTACCATCATTTCCGTATCAAAGGGGAATCTTGCTTGCTGTTTTGCCAAGTGATCCTACATATTAGATCTCCGCCGATAGAATTGCACGCCGGGTGAAAAACGTTGTTATGGTGAAAACGCAGGAGAAAAGGAGAGCCGAACGACGTTATATAGGGAGGGGGGACGGGTGAAAATGAAGCTAACTAACATACAAAGCTGAGGGGAAGAAGCAAATGTTGAGGTCTGTATGTTACGAGATGCCGAACAGGCTGAAAGTACCACATGAACGCTTCCTGGTGGCAGCGGGGACGGTCGTTGTAAAGGTCTACTTAAGACCGTTAAAGCTGTCTTAGCTCAAGAGGCACCATGGCTAGCTAAATGACTCAACAGTCAGTCCGGCGGCCAACGCGCCTCTGCAACTGACTATTCAGGCTGTTTTCCTTACACTTGTCCTTCCACACGAGCGGACGCGGCCTCCTACCTACTTTGCGCAGTCCTGTATCCATTAGCCTCCTTCCTATGCCTCTCCCTCTCTTCTGTGACATCGCCTGTCGCCGCTTCCCCGCCCGCCCGCCGGCGCTCCTATCACAACCTGTTCTTTCACCAAACTGCCACTTCTACCGAGTCGTATATGAGGAATTTTGCAGACTTGGTGCTGAATTACTGACGGCATTGTTACAGAACCAGTAATGTAACGCAGAGATCTTACCGCACTACCTGGCTCCTTGTATTTCAACGCGTTATACAAGGGCTTTACAACTAGGACCGCTCAGTCTTTCCGCTCCAGCAGCATTTGTAAGTAGGAAGTGTATATATCGGTGTGCGCCACTCTAGCATCATTAATATTCCTGAGCACAACCGACAGGACAGCGAGCGCATGGCTCCATGGTTGGACGTTGGACTCACAGATCAAGGACTCCGGGTTCGGATCCCAGACTCTCCACACGTGGACCTGGGTATGGCACGCTGACAACAGCCAGTAAGCCAGAAACGGCCATTCCGATCTCCTTGTCTTTATTAGTACATCATTATCTGCATAAGAAACCTGTTGCATGCCTAATGAGCTCCTTGCGTACATATGGCCTATGATGATCGGTAACGACCAAGAAACAGCTATCTGCGTCTGGCCTGTTGCACTCTTAGTGAGCTGTTTATGTATTACATTTGTTTATTTATAAAGAGGCCACGGAATTCCTTGGCAGAGCCAGCGAGCGGTTTGTTTTTGTTGTTGTTTAATTGAGGTTTACTACCCATCACTATGGACAAGTATACTCTCAGACATCACCTTAGGCTGCAAAGCGCCCGTCACTTTCCGCCGGCTTACAAATCTGCCTAGCATAAAGAAACCTGAGCTCCCCTACTCTCGCCCTCCTCGTGCATTTAGATCGCAGCGTTTCCTTTTGCTGTAGATGGCAGAACAAAGTTGAGTTTTGGCGCGGACTGCTGCATACTGTTTACGGCGTCTGTCAAAAAGCAGCGCTGGACTAGGAATTAAGCGTCGTCCTAGATTGGGCGTTTACGAAAATGATGAGCCAACGAGACTAGCACGGTTCCTGGACAGGCCACTCATCCCCTTCGGATTCGTCTTAACTACCCTTCTTTTCCAGTCCTTATTTCCTGCCCTCTCCTATCTCTCCCTCAAACTTTCCCTCTTGTTCTACTTCTCTTTAAATTCCGTTAAATTTTGGCTGTAGAATTTCGAAGCTTGTGGTCGACCGATATAACGCCCTTTCTACACATTGCATCGTAGAAGGGGACATTCTGTTGAGGCTGAAATTTCCGTTTTTGTATTATCTTTCGTAGATTATCGGTAGGAATGCAAAACTGTGATTGTGATGGTCCTTTTTAATCTATTTCAGCGCGATAGCAATTACGCAGCGCGGTCAGGATCTAGGCTTAAAAGACAGTCATTTTAGGTGGGGGAGTCGGGCAAAAGTCGACCGATTAATACTTAGTTTATGGGTCACGGAACGCACTTGCTTGTTAGAGGGATCTTCTCGAGTATCGTTGAACCAGGAGAACTGAGCGATGAGTTTACCATGGGTTTTCGTCTGGAAGAGAAAGTGAAAGGCAAAATATAATGACTGGGTTCGAATAAAATCGAATAATTTTTCCTCTTTATAAGAACATTCAATGTGAGATGAAGTACCGAGCAGGTTGCTTACATATGCCATCGGGTGCTACATCGTACAGGCGGTACTTCGTTCGCTTACCCACAGACGTGGTCTTTGTAGGCCTGTGAACTAACTACAACGATAGTTTTTTACAATTATGGCTGTTTATAAAGAGCCTATCCAAGCCGACTTCGAGGCTAGCTCCCAACCATTAACTTATTTGAGAGGTAGGCCTAGTAGGTTGAGTAAAACACATCAAGCATAGTTATTTTAAGTCGTACTGTGCGATTGATGTATGAGGTGCGCGAGGTCTGTATCCAGGATGAAAGTGTTGAAATATACTGCTAATTTATTTGCTGATTTAGTATGCGTCATAAAAGTTAAACCTTACGCGGAAAATCGTTAGCTAAAACATACATCTTCGATTAATCCTGTTTGCAGAATGACTGAAAAAATAGGCATGCTGACCTAATGGAGACATTATAAAAACCAAAAATAGCACCAAAACCTTTAACTCCCTGAAAGATCTTTTGCCTAGAGGGGAAATGACTCATGAAGTACTTCTTAGCATCACTTACTCACAAAGTCTCCCAAAATAATCGGACGTTCGTAATTATAAATGACCTAAACAACGCAGAAAACACAAATGCGGTCTCCTCGGCAGATCAGAAGTCAATACAGTTAGTTAGGAAAGCACGCCTTAGGGAACTATCCGATGCTCTGCCCTCAGTATATACAACACCGTTCACAATTTCGGGTCATCTGCCACTGACTTGTCGGCAAAAAACACACCGATCAAGGCTTTTGCATATCCCATATCCCCATGGACTTCGTCTTCTGTTTTCCTTAGAAGAGCTCACAAAGGGGTGTCTCTTCATTTTAAATTTTAATTGCAGAGATCGTGTGTACAACTGATTATTCCTGATCTGTATTGCAGAATTAAAATGAATTAGGGTTAGAGCTCAATCTACTCAGACTGTCTCTTCTCGGATTCAAAAGTAGTACATGAGTTCGACAGACGAGTAGTGCAAGTCACTCTACGTTTAATCCTCAATTTCCGTACGATAATACCTTCAGACCATGGATTTGTCTTTTGCTGCGAAATTCTGATTAAGTGTTAAAGGAGAAGATGTGTTTTGGAGGCAGTGAGGGAGAGGGAATCTGCGCAATCAAAAGAAAACAGAAAACTAATAAAGAAGTAGATAAGAAGGAGCAGAGGAAGAACTGTGTAAGTAGGATGGGGCAGCTAGCGTCGCTTGTTTCTAATGCACTAGGTTCTACAAACTATCTGCAGCCTTAAATAAATTCCATATATAGCAACTGAATATTCTGCGAAATACGTATCGAATGAAAAGGCAGCAATGACTGAAAAGAGGTAGATACGTTCGCTGGAACAAGAATTTTATTTGCCCGACATTTTGGATTCACCCTCAAGCCCAGCATCAGAGAAACCAGCAGGCAAGTGTCGTTGGTGCTGACGTGGTGCGGTCGCCATACCAACATACGCATATCAAAATTAATGGCATTCACATTCATCGCAGGCGGCTGGCCTTGGCTCGCCTACAACCAAGTCGTAATTTGCCGCCATTTCACCAGCAGTGTCGGTTATTTGGGCGATAATTATTTGGCCATCTGGTTTATGATTTGAATGGGTATTGTACGCACACTGCACATGAATAATTACTCTGCCGGGGCAATTTGACGGCTTAAGAGGGAGAGGGGAGGCATTAGGCCCGTCGATAGACTGGAGTCTAGAGAACAGTGAATAAAGCAGATCGTAGCTTACGCAGATGTCACCTCTCGCCAGTCTTTCGATCTTATCAAACTTGAATGTATGGCGAGTCCCGCGAATGAGCCACGGCATGGGGGCTGATGTCGTTCTTCCTCATCGTTGCTACTGCGTTTTCGATCATCCACGCCCGGAATAGTCATCCAGTATGTCTGACATAGTTGCTCGACCCCGGTACCCAAAGTGCGGCAATGCACAGTCTTCAACAGTACAGCGTGGATTTCTACTGCTTGCCCTAATTCCGAATTTTCCGACCCGGGCACTCGGGGAATAAAGGTCCCGCTAGTCAAGTCACACTACGTCCCCCTACCACAGCGGCTTACGCGACTCTTCTGGTAGAGGCGGTGTGGCGATCGCCCTCTCGCAGCAAGCCAACCATGCTCAACTTGCATGGGAACCGGTCGCTGACCGGACGGACAACCTGCGACCGAGGGATTACTTTATGAACATCTCTGTCCCCTTCATGTGCGCACCAACATCGGTTGCCGAACAGAGCGATAAAGAGGTTTTTTATCCACAGCTTCTAGCGTTAATTAAAGAGCTCCCTCACCGTGATCTGGTGATTGTTACTAGGATGTGGAATGGTCAGACTGGGCCTGGCAGCTCTTCAAATCGTCAGCTTATTGACCACTTTGGTCTTGGCTTACGTTGCGACCACAATGAGAGACTGCTGAGCTTTGCTGATCAAAACCGACTGTTTGTCACCAACACCTGCTTCCAAAATCGCCAGAGACATCTGCTGGCCTGGTAGTCAAAGGACGGTTGTATGACCAGTCAGATCGAATACCTTCTAGTTGGTTCAAGGTTCCGAAGCTGGGTTTGCGATAGCAGATCAATGCGTTGTACTGAAACTGGTACCGCCCATGGGTCAGACCATGTTCTCGTTGGCACAGGCTTGAGAGTTCACCCCTCATCCGCATCCAAAATGCCACTTGTAAGACGATTTGATATCACTAAACTTTGGCTACCCATCACCACCGACACCCTAGGCAGAGAAATACTGTCCCACTTTACGACCGGAGCCGGCGGAGAAGGCAGCCGTTAGTGGTCATCATTAAAGCCATCAGCCTATGGGGCAGCAGAGAAAAAGCTCGGATGCAACCAACACCTTCACAGTGACTGGATCAGCGGAAAAACGTTGCAGTTGTCTGCTGAGACGGCTCGAGTCTGATCCCTCATGAGGATATCTTTCGTCAACTCTAGAAAATGACGGCAAAGTACGACAGGGCTGACCGGAAAAAATATTAGGCCGAAACGATGACCCCCCTCGAGCAGGCCTTGAATGTTGGTGACACTCGAAAACTCTACTAAATTATCAGCCCAATTAACGGTAAACCCTCTGAACTGAGTGACTCTGTTCACGATGTGAAAGACGGGTTTGTTGCTGATAAACCGACCAAGGTCGAGCGATGGCGTGAACGCCTCGAGAATTTTCACAACTTCGATGACCAACCCATAAGGCCCCCACTCTCTTCTTCAGAGGCGTTTCACTCCTCTCGAACCTATGCAATATCACGCGATCCCCTTCTGAGAGAAAAGTCGCCGATGCATTACGAAGGCCGTACAACAACAAGGCACCCGGAGAAGACAGTATTTCCTCCTAAATCTATAAGCCATGTGTCAAAATTCTGGGGCCTTTGCTCAAGGGGGGAATGTACAAGCGTGGAAGGATGAGGCCGTTCCTGAAGACTGTGGCTTGGGTATCCTTGTATCTGTGTTCAAGAAGGGAGATAACACAAGGTGCGAGAACTACTGTAGCATTAGCCTCATTGACGATGTTTTGAAGGTCTTCATCGTTGTCCTTATGGAGCAATTCTAGGCTCTTATTGACATCGGGAAGAGGCCCAACCATGTCGGAACCCGAGCTGGGTGTGGATGCGCGAACCAGATGCTCACACTGAGTGTCATCCTTAAATTACGCCATGACTACCAACGACCGACGGCCGTCTGTTTTGTTGACTTTACCACTGCGTTTGATTCCGCCTATCGTGGGTCCTTGTGGCAGAGATTGGCTCTAGATAGTTTACCGCTAAAAATCCTCGCCGCAACTAAAGCCCACCACCCCTGCAGCGTCGAGCGAATTCTGACCCCTAACCATCTATCCCAATCGTTCGATATTTGGTCTGGCGTTCGGCAAGGTTGTTTCCTGTCGCCCATTCTGTGCAACCACACCGTTGATTGGATTCTCGGGAAGGCCCCACCCGTATGTCGAGTTTGCACCCCGAAACCGACTGAATGCTCGTGACTACGCTGATGATTTCGCCATGCTACCTCCAAGTTTTGGTGATCGACAGTCCGTGGTGTCATGGGTTTATCCACAAACGTCTGAAATACCAAAGATAAACAGCACTCAAGAAACATGCCTATCTACACCTCCTACCAGTGCAGTAAAAACTTAAGTAGACTTGAGGTTTCTTATATAAACAGGAGAGTCCGTAAATGTTCTAAAGTTCCTGATGGATCTCACATGACAGTAGACTTTTTGCCTTTTGATGACTGTGACAGTAGGGTGAGCAGCGCTCCAGGAAAACCGTAACAATGGAAAAAGTTGAAAGAAAACATCTAAGATTATAATAAAGAGTAAAAATCCCTGTGTACAATGTTCCAGGACTTCCTATCCCGACTTCAATGACTTTTTCGGTTGCACCATGTGCATTCGACATTAATTAGCAAGTTGAAAGACCTTTTCTCCAGTACATGCACTGTGTAGTTTTTTTTCGGCTGGATAACTCAGACGGAATTAACTTCTTTTGAGACTGAGAAAAGCACGTTAACAGCCTAGTTTTCAACGTGGCATACTTAAGCTGTGCAAATAAGCATGTATATGTTTAGAAATTCTATCAGCCCTGGACAACCTCTTCCTAATGGCAATAACAATAGGTGGGATTTTGTTTAAGTGGAAAGTACACAACGCATATATGAGAAATCCCGAATCTAGTGCACAACAAGGTGAACTCATGAGCAATAAATAAACCGACAAGCGTTCTAGCAATCGAAAAACACCCACCCTTTTGCATAAAGGTTACTTTCTCGTAGATATAACAGGTAAATGACTCTTCTGCACATATGCCCCTTATTTAAAGTCAGTCAAAAAGTTGAAAAGTTAGGCATTTATTTTGGCGTGTGTGATTAGTCCCAGGTTGCTGGAAAGATTGGCATTTAGTGCCCGAGCATCTACAACCACAGGAGATTATGTTGCACGTTTAACAGTACTGCAAAATTGCTTAATGACTTTTCCAACCGAAAGTATGCCTTAGATGTTCGGTCAATGGATCATGAGGTAATTCATCTACCGTTTGTCCTGAAAGACTGTGCGCAAAACACACTGAGGTCGCCGAGATCAAAACGATGACTCACACAAAGGCCTTGAAGAAATTTCCAATCTTCTGAATGTAGATATCGCAGACGGTGTTCAGACAGGGCTCAGTGGTGGCATACCGCTGTGTTGTATTGGCCAAATTCATTAAGCTCTGAAAGAGGGTCACATTTTCTGCCCGGACCTGCCGGCAACCGTATAAACAAACACAATTAGAGGGATTTCAATTGTTGTTTCCGAGAAAACTAACGAAAATCAAAAATCCTAGAATTTTCAATTCGGATCTCCGGCATGACATTTAGACATTAAGAGACAACGTGTCACTGCGTGCCCCAGCTATATTTTTCACTCGTTTAATCGGGACATCAAGGAAAAAATATCTGTGTTTGGGGACGCTAGAGACCCTTGCTAGAAAAACAGGTATACTTCAGGACCAGAGGGCGTCAGTACAAGGAAATAAATCACAAATTTGGTTTTTTCATCAAACTTTGTCAGTTTTTTCCACCTGTATTCAAATAACATATTATCGCTTACATTTATCTACTTTACCAGGTCCTTTGTTCCTGATTCTCTTTTTGCAAAAAAACTATATCTGTTTCACCTGCGCCTACCTTTCACGCATTTTAATGTTGGAGCAAGGGAGCGCAGCTTATGCATCAGCTTAAACGAGGTACTCGATGGACACTAGAGCCACCAAGGACATCAATCTGTCCCCTTTTTTACTCGTAGATCGTCGGACCCATAAAATTTATCAAGTCCGTAGTGCCCTGTAGTATAGGTGGATGACGCGGAAAAGAAAAATCAGCACGTGTCTCTTGAAAATTTAACTCCCAGAGATGGAAAAAATGTTGGCTCAGAAGGAAATAGAGTTGAAATCAGGCAAATCAGTCCTCCCCACCTCCAATATTGTGCACATGTTCTGATTACGGTTTAAGGCATTACATGCAGCCTCAGTTTACTAGAAACAGTCAGCATGAATCCACCATTCAAAAGTGTCCAAGGAGTGTCTGGGTAGTAGGCACACTGACGGCAAAATAAGCGACAAATACTTAAGATTTCCTGTGTATCGACACATCTCTCCGACTCATTTAAAATGGAGGAGATTCGGATTTCAGAAGACTTCTTGAAGTTGTTTCGGCGACTATCTCAAAAGGTCGTAGTTCTTCCAGACCAAGTCTGCCTTTCCCTATGCCCTTAATCTCACAAATTTCAATGTTCAGCTGCATCTATAGTCCCGTTTGTTGCAGCCATTCCAAAACAGGCACATTAGCAAGGAAGGCCGCATTCTTAGGGGATACTGTCAATAAAAGAACTTTAAAAGTCTCCCGAATTTCAGGCGTCATCTTATCTTCAAACATGACGCCAGGATTTACAGGGCAAGTTTTTTCGCATTCTCCAGTTAGACATAGAACAGCCAAAGTTAGAATGCAACATAATTTTACTATCCAAACTCCGGTCAATCGTCATCTATGCCTGGCCGAAAATACGAAAGACATTTTGATTTCGCTCAAAATGAGTTCTCCGCACTTTTAAACCGCTTCAGTTGTTTCCCCGCTTCGCCTGATCACCAGTGCATCCGAAGTTCATTTACCAGTCTGCTTCAGCTCCGTCCCTTAAAGTGTCATTGGATTAGTGACTTAATGAGCAAAAAAGTTGGCTAACGCGTCCAAAACTAACCGCACATGTTCAATTTGCGGAATTTCTCATCCCCCCATTCTTACTGTTTGGCAATTATCCTGAAACTTTCATCGTTGAACAAGAGAGCCTAGAATTGGGCATTAAAATATGCGCAGAAGAGTCGACCATCATTTCGAAAAAGCGCATTTTAACCAGTAACCTTGGATCTTTGGCGTGCAATATAGCATTGAGTAACAATGCCAAAACAGGCGTGATCTTGTTTAATACTACAAGATCAGTTGCCTAAAAAGAAGATTCAAGCTAATGGCTACTAAGCCGGCATGCTATCCTCGCAGCGACCTGTACGTCCGCATGCAGATCGAAAAAAGATCTACTGTGCGGATCGAATAAAACATGATCAATTGCATTGACATGCCACTAAAATGACTAAGACAAAATGTTCGAAGACTTTTATTTAAACTCGAATGTCCACCGGACGTTTGAGAGAAAGGCATGCGGTTTGGCCGGAAAAGTACGCACTTAAGGAAAAAATGAAGGACCAGTCGCAATTCTACTTTAACAAAAATAGTCAAATTTCTTCCCATCTCACCTCGCATTCCCGGGTCATATCACCTCCAATGCGGACAGTAACGGGAAGTGGAAAGTCCGGAGTCTAAAGGCGGAGAGAAAAAGCTTAAGTTCCGCTCATTTTAATTCGAAAGTCGAATTAGTAGTGGGGCAGGTAGGACTTACAATTGGCTGGCATTTGGTTTGGAAGCTGCGCGTGACAAGTGGAAATTCCGCCGGACCCAGCTTTTTTCGAAGCATCAGTAGATGGCCAAACTAAAGTAATGCGGAATGTTGGAGTAGCATCAAAACGAAAGGGATTTTGGTCTTGATATGCATGAAAACCACAAAGTAAGCTTTAGTCATGACTAACAGCAAAAAGTTCTTCGTAGTTTGTACTGCTACGCAACCACCGTGCGACAGTTCGCTCGAAACAAATGACTGGGAACATCACTCGCCTGCATATGAGGCGGTGAAGACATGTGTCCGCCTTCTTCACGGCGAATCAGACGTCCGACACATATGCCTCGTATCATTTTAAAATTTTTCATGTGACAGGAAAGGGTCTAGATGACAGAAGATCCATTGAGCGGAGTGGATGTCAGAGCTAAAGAACCAGTGTGCGTCTGCCAAACACAAACTGGTCAATAAATTCACACGGACAACTCTTCAGAGAAGAGGGAGACCTCAGGTTTCGAATGACAAGGCGTGTCAAAAAGACCAAATTAAGCAAGAACCTTTGTAATCCGACTTACCCTCATGGGAGGAACTATTAACCTCGTTAGTCAACAAAATCCCAAATTACAGCTGTTAATGCATTCGAACTTTAAAGGTACTGTGCTTGTTTATAGAAGTGTTAGATCATAACCGAATTGACCTCATACAGTCACTCCTCTCCCTTTGAAAATCCGGATCTAAGGCTCAGAGAATAAACCTGGCGCCGTGGCTGATGTGAGGTGAGTCTTTGTCTAACATGTACTGCACACATGTACGGTAATGGTCAAGTAGCGCAGCGTGACCCGCAGATCCACCCAAAATACGGGCGTCGAGTTGCACGAATAAACACAAGGAGCATTAACTGTAGCTGTATACGTCGAAGAAATTTCCCCCCTCCTCTATCTATGTAGTTCATGCTGCCGAAATCACCTAATCTGATCCAAAAGTCCGGTTGTTTTGAGACAGACTTCAACAAGCCCAGGTTGGCAAATTATGGTACAGCATCTGAACTATTGTTTCTGACGTTTATATAATTACCGTAAAAAAACACGAGTTTTCAGTCCAGACGAATTTTCTGGTTCAACAGCCCGTCCAATTAGATCAGTAGGTTCTACGTTGGAAAAAAAATTTGGTTGGACTCAGGAGTGTCGACCTACGGTATTACAGGTGGCTTTGCCCTAAATTCCAGGGGGACTAGGGTAAGTGTTAAGGTTAGGGCTATGTGAGTTAAGAGGATGAGGTCTGGGGTTAAGCTTATGACAGTTAGTGTTAGGGCTGAGGCCCCGAGAGCTAATTTTAGGTTTAGGGTTAAAGTTAGGATATGAGAATAGGTACCTGCCGGAATTTGGCGCCAAACCACTTATAGCGCGAAAGGCCCATGCCCCTGTGACCGACCAAGATCTCGCGCTTGTACGATATATAACTGTGAGGATGTAACTTAGTTACCGTGATTAAGTGAACCCGTGCTCGGAAAATCGGACCTACGGAATTTTAAGCCAACCAACTGTCCATCTTTTTGCCTGAACCCATATTTTCGGTTATCAAATAAGTGCTGTTTACGACGGTCTGCTGTGTACATGTCGGTAAAAAATATTACGATTGCTCGTTGTCAACCGCACAAGGGAAATTTAATGCATTTCCATTTCTTGCAATTAAATGCCGCCATGTGACTTCAAACATAACAAAAAAGAAGGGCGACCGAAGGCTAAAAATGACACTTGCTGCATAAAAAATGCTTGCGGATGCGCTTGCGCAAGTGCAAAAGAGTCATTTTGTCAGAGTTGAATTGGAATGTCATAAAAGATGTAGCACCGCCCAACTCGCTCCCTCCCCTCTCTCTCACACACACAGTGTTAGTTTGCATGTCTATTTGTCGGCTCGTAGGAAATAAAGTTAATCAGACCAACAAATGTCCGAAGAAGCGTTCGAAATTACTCCGCCCGAGCCCTGTAAATTACCTCGAGATACCACAAGCGCATGGCGCTTTCGGACTGATTTTTTTTACTTGTCGATCTAAATTACTGCCGATATGACTTAATCTACAGGACGAGGGGTTTTACCCTGCTGCTCCAAACTTGCCACTGAAACGGTCATCAACAGCAGCAACAAATAGAGGTAATAGCACACTGTGGGGGGGGGGGAATTGGGGGCAGTTGCGGTGCAATCAGACATAATAAAATCGGCACTGGGCGTTCCATCGGTGATGATCGTGTTTGATATGATGATGGCTGGATCGCTCGCGTCCCAGTCGTTAGATGTCGCAGCTCCATCATCAGCGTCGACTATTGATGTGAAAAAGGCTCAGCGATTTGATTCCCGATGTTGTCACTAGATTTAAGTGTTCACTTGCGTGCTCAGCATGTGACTAAGCATCCTCACCGGACAAAGACTTGTCGATGGGGCGCCAGAAAGAGTCAATGGAGAATGCTGCTCGCGATTCACGCAGTCGCCCGCGGACTTCAGGACCTGGCGATGTCCCGCCGAGTGGCCCGCGACTAGAAAGTTTGCATCATTCCCTCACATTCCTGTTGCTGGGTTGGCCATCAAATTCCGGAGTAATCTACCTATTTTGGCGACGTAGTCGCTTTGTCCAAAATCGCCTCAGATGCAGTAATCGGCTGTTTCAGACGCTTGTTTCGGTGCCAACAAGTCGTTCGTGGTATTTGTCGGTTGCCACTGGCCTGTGTGTAATGCCAGCCCTGAGTTGCATAAGAAGACCGTCAATAGTCTTCAAGAAGACCTTCATATATGGGAACGCTTATGAAACTTTGGATCTCATGGTTTTTACGCATCGACTGATGAAATTAAGAACTTGTCGGAGGCATTATAATTCGACATCCTTGCCTTTTGGTTCATTGAACCACGTTCTTACCCAAATAATCGTATTTGTGACTGAACAAGTGATTGATATCGAGGCTGAGAGCTACGTATTCTTTATCGCTTTCCTGAACACTTCAGATTGTAGGCCACTTATATTTCTGCAACAGCAGAGAGCGTCAAAGCCAGCCGGTCGTTTCCTTTCTCTTTTATCTTAACTTATATGTTCCGAAGACGCATGGAAAATTTGCTGAGTGCTAACACGTGGTCTCGTTCGAGAGAGACGGAGATAACATTTAGATGTACATATCCAGCCAGACATTTCAGTCTGAAGTGTTTCAAAAGCACCTCCTCTATGAGCTGACATGTGAGTGTACCCATTAGTGTGCATTTTTCTTTCGTAGATTGATTTCCAAAAGTAAAGAACGTTTTCAGACAGTGCACCGGGGGTTTGGAAAGTTAAACAAGTCTGACCGAATCTCTCTTTCATCACATTAACTCTCTAGGAGTATATGGGTTGCTTCGACTGCCCAATATTAGGGAATATAAGTGAACAGATATGTGGCAGCAGAATCTAAAATGAGTCTGCTGGACAGACATTGATTTTCTCAAAGAATTACGTTGGTAAAACGGCTATGTGGTTTAAAGCAGCAGGCAGAAATTAGAGACACCAAAACAACAACAACAACAACAACAACAACAACAACAAGTCTCAGCAATACAACGAACTAAATGGGAATACTTTCGGAAAGTCATAAACTTGAACGAGGACTCAATTCTGCATTTATTTCCCCTGCCAGAGTTTTTTACGAGTCTCAATTTGCATGAGACAGAACTAACGGTTCTGCAATAATCGTTTGGCATTGTAATTAGCCTGTCCTATCCAATATGACGACGAAACGCTCCATGCCCGCATGCATGATAACAAGACATTTGTCGGATTTAATTTCCCCCCGTGTATCACGTTCGAGAATGAATCCAAAGCGTCAGACATATAAGCTTCGAGTTCAAGCGATCGAGTATTCTTTTCATCTACTTCCTGAAACTTCCCTAAAACTCTTATTCGCAACAACTGTGACCTACCGCTTTCCGCAGACAGCAATTTAGATGACGCGTTTCCGGCGACAAATTTTCCCCTTCTCTTACAAAGGGTAAAATCCCCACTTATGTGCGCGTCACATGTCCTGTATGTCCTCCAGTTCACTTCGACAGCCTCTTTTCAAAGTCTGTCTACGTACAACAGAAATGATATTATATATAAATCCACTGCGCCCTACCCCTTTTCTCGCGATACGCAAATATTTCGCTAGCAATAGTTCAGACGAAATAATACAATAGTACTTGATAGAATAAAAATTCAGACAGACTGTTCTGAAAGACCGCAACGACTACCAGTCTCATTCTCAAACAAACCACTTCCTAACTTCTGTCATGCAAAGTAAGGTAAGGCTGACATTTTATGCGTCCAGTCGTCGCTACATGCTTTCTTTAGGTCAGCATTTGACTAATAAGTCGCATGGATTGTTGCCTTTTAGGCCGAAATGGTATCTCAATTTACTTTTTTTCCAAAAATGGATGCTTTAGTACTATTAAGCGGAACGCACATGCTTGGAAACTTTGTGCGCTTACCAGCCATGCCTTGTTTTTCATGTTGTAGACTGCTTCGGCGGAGTTGATACAAGGAACGCCGCCAAAGACGAGGCCGGTTAAAATGTTTTCGTAATGCTGCGGTGTTGCCCCAAGGCCTTGTCGGATCAGTACAAAGTCTGGCTTAAAAGACCTTAATGGCAGATATACGGGGTGGAGTTACTATTGAGAATGAGAGCTTTTGTGAAGAGACAATCAGCAGACGATCAACCTCACAAATAACTAAAACAGAACATAAACGGCCTCTAGATGCGCGTGAGCATCCAGTCTGAAAGGGAAAATAAAAGGGCAATATACGCATGTTTACCTTCTTTCAGCATCATAAAAAGAAAAATTATCTGGTCTGGGCTTAAGGAGCATAAAAGTTATTCCGTGAAAAGGGCTTGGTCAAGTAAGCGCTTCTGTTTTCACGTCAAGGAAATCTGGCGATCGCTTGAAGGCGGCATTGTATTTGTCAGAACCCTCATGAGTTTGTCGAAAATCCTGGATTAAATTACAGTAGGTCAAAAAGCATTTTTGTTTCACTATTTTAGTTGGGCACTGGGAATTTTAACTATCGTTTTGCGCGTATGACGGTTAGTCAGGTGTACACACACTTAAATTTCAAACGCACTTAATACCCATTCGCTCTGGCACAGCGAAGTTCCATTTAGAGTAAACCAAGGTAAAGAAGGTGTTGGTACTCTGTGACTTTGTTTTTGGTCAATTTTTACAGCTCAATCAACTATGCGTATTCAATAAGCCATGAAACTCTCCAACAGACCGGTAAAACGGCCAATTAATATGAATATTTCCGACTAAGGTTTGTAGAAGTTCAAGCAGTGTTTGCCGGGCAAAGGCATTAGATCTTAGTTTTCTCTCAAACGATTGCTTTTTATATAAATCTGACGCTATCCAAAGTCGGCAAATACAAAACACGACGAAGTTCAAAAGATTTCCGAGAATTCTCCCGTGTGTTTACAAGCAAGAAATACCACCTAAGTCAGAATTAAAAGAATGAAAAGCCTTGAATATGGTAAGGAACTCACGCTAGTATTAAACGCTGCTTCTTTTTTGAAATTCAAACTTCTAAAAACACTGTATAAGGCATCACATTTTACCTTCGATTTGTTATGCCCAGTTAAGACAATATTTTTACTAAACGATGGGCAACCAAAATTAGTAATTTACTAATTTTCTGAAGACTTGCATTTAAGTGCAAGTCGGTGTTCAAGGAAACACATTATTTCTCTCTCATTCTTAATTCGGTAACCCTTTAAATACTCATATGACCCTACATCAGTTCAGCTATTAACGGTTCTTTTGATATGGCTTGACAAATTATTTGATACCTCCCTATACCTTCGAATCATGTTTGTTGATTTATAATTATGATAATTAAATACTCGCTCATCTTGGAAATAAAAGAGTGTACTCTTACCATTTCGTTTCCAATACTGCAAATGAACTTTAGCGAACATCACAAAATACACCATCAGAGTCATGTTCCTTTACAGAACTGTCGCAGATGGTTGATTAAGGAAACTATGGTTGGTTTTCATAAATATTCTCACTGCACTCCCATCTAAACATCTTTCTTGATTAAAGGAAGAACTGTGAGAAATTCATTCGGGAACCATGAGTTTTATTGTTGGCGTTTATTCTGAAATGGTATTACAGCGCCCTTGCCTGTGGAAATTAACGCTTCTGGTACTGAATTCTTACCACTACCCAGTTGTCTATCAGCGGCCAGACTTGAAGCGCAATGCCTCTTTGAAGCTAACACTTTGCAGGGGGTCGGGCAGTGTAGGCCACCGTCAGTATATCTAATAATGTTTGCAACAGAACATCGAAACTAAAATCAGCAACCAAGTTTAGTAATTACTCATGCCCATTGACATGGTACAACTCCTAACGAACCACATTGTAAGTGCTTAATTTATGCTGCTTCTCACAACTGCACTTATGTTCGTCTGGTTTACACGAGAAAGCAGACTTGCCAAACAGTTATTTGCATAATTACTTATGTCAACGGGACCGGTCAACGGCGGTTTTGGATTGCCACTTAGCTGGACTTAGATACCGGTTCGCCCACTATTAGCCATAATCCTCCAAATCTGCGTTAAGACTTCTGGTGTTGGATTTTTAGTCAGAAAACGCAACCCTTTTCTGGCTAAGGTATAATGTATGGATATGAACGTCTGAATTTTACCCACGTAACGTGCATACTCATATGCGCCTCTTGATGTTGTATAATGATTTAGTCTTGTGGGCCTAACTAGACACTTGCATCACGTAATAAAAAAGCTGACTACAAGGGCAGAAAAATAAAACACGACGCACTCACTTTGGGGATGGCCGACCTCCCTTGTTGTCTTGCACTGTCACCGTACAACCCTGCTCGGCGAAGGCCGAAATACAGATGTCGGAAAACTGTGCCTACAAGTGCAAAACGCACGACAACTGATTATCAACCTCAGGTAAATTGGTTGCTCTGGCAAAAAAAACTAAATTAGTACGTTCATATTATGGATTTCTTTCAGTAAACTTAAATAATGTGTTGCAGAATTCAGTAGGAAAGTTTTTTTCGGGAAATCATAACAACCTGTCTTGCCCTTAAAGGATTGTCATGTTCCGAGTGTTGTAAGCTGGTACTTATTTGGGCTGCACGCATTCGTACCTATTTCATTTGAAAGAATTCCCCTTCTTTCATATCTAGTTCTTTCCGCCACACTTTAATGGGTCGAATTCAATGGAAGAGATAAGAGGAATCAAGATTAGAACAGTCGTGCGTGTCAGTCGAACAATGCTACTTTTGCCGGAGGAAATGAAGATAGATCTCCAGGGGGAATTTCAGAAGAAGATGATGCGGTCGTCAGACCAAGCCTATACACCGGACGCTTCAGATCAGCAGAGACAGTCGCAAATAAGGGTGGTGGAGACACAATGAGCGCAGTATTGAGATGACGCAGTTGCCATGCCACCACGTGCGTAATATAAGTAGCAGCTCTCGCGTTCATCGCTGGAGTTCACACTTGATGCGATGATGGCTTGTCAGCCCGCATTAGAGTCGTTACTTGCCAAGATTTCCCGCTTTTACTGATGATTTTTAGCATGATAACGACTAAGTAATTCGGCTCGCTGTCACTCGGTGTATTGGTTGATGGGATGACGCGGACAACCAATAGTTCGAGTGACAGCGAGCCAAATCTTTGAGTCGTTATCATGCTAAAAATCGGTAACGGCCATTAACGACTCTACCGCGGACTGACGAGCCATAATGACATCAATTACGAATTCCAGCGGTAAACGTGAGAGCTGTCAGCCATACCACCTATGTGGTGTCCTGATAACTGCATCCTATAAGGAATGCGTTCCTTATGCCTCCATTACCCTTAGCGGTCTCCGATGATGGGTTCGAGTGAGGATCTGAAAGGTCAGGCGATTAAACTCCTAGGCGAGGTTCGGTCCTGCAGCCCCACTTGACTGACACCATATGGTTAGCTTCCTAAAACAATTTTAGTAGGCGAGATTGCTCTGACTTTACATGCATTATGTGTTTGCACCTTCCTTATTATTTTAACCCAGCGATTTACTGTGCCTGGGGGGAGCGCTTATACACCATCTTCGGTAACATCAGGTATCAGTCCACACGTGCTTCCCTGTGCGTGCTTCGAGCCCTGCTTGCTCCCTCTTTACTATCCTTAATCCAGCGAGTGGCCTGCTGATGGCATTGTTCGGACGGAGTTGAACTCCCCCGGCTCCCCTGCAGTGGCCATGCGTTGCGAATTAACACGCGGTTCTCTCCGTGGCCCTTCAGTTTTGATGGCACCCTCCTCATCCTTTTGGTCCAGCTGTTGGCTGTGTCGCGGGGAGAGTACGTACACACAACCTTCGGTTACATCAAACGCCGGTTCACACGCGCTTTCCTGTGCGTGTTTTGAGTTCTGCTTGCGCTCTCTTTCCCTCCCTAATCTAACGAGTGGCCTAGTTGGGTATGTTAAATATAACTGTTTTAGTAAGCTAACCATTTGACGTCAATCGAGTGGGGCCGCATGACCAAACCTCACCAACTTCTTGTTTCAGCGATCGCCTCGTCTTCCGAATTCCACTTTCTCTGATGGATAGTAGCAAAAGTTTGATGTGACTATAGGTAGAGTCTTGAGTCAAATCTTGCAGCGGTTACTTATCCACTTGACGATGTTTGCCCTGGTTTCTTGGGGCACATGGTTTATTTTGACCAATCTTTAGTTTTCAGGAGGGTTTGCCGCGGACCGCTTCGGTTCTCGTTTCTGTAAATCTTCGTACTAGACTTCTCTTTATTTATGTATTGTCAATCAACATCCAACGTCGTATATTACGTGACCTGGATAAGTGTAAAAGTGCCTACCAAAGTATAACCGAAAAAACTCAAATTACAGCACACGGTTACCAAGAGGATTCTATGTTTCTCATATAAAACGAAATATAGAGGGGAAAATGCACAACAGGGTTTCAAGTAACTTAAAAAACTAATCTCGCAAAACAACCAGCAATGGCATATGTCAGGAAACTTAGTAGAACTGCCGGAAAAGTTAGGAGTTGTTTGAAAACATTTTGTCACACATGGAATGAGACAGCCAAAACATATAATTTATTGTAGGTTTTCGTCTTCAGAACCGTCCACACTTCTGCTGGGTCATCGTAATCTTTTTCGTCACTTTTATAACCTCTAGTTTTGCGTTGGACCAACACGAAGCCAGATCAGGATACGGCAAGCTTTATTGGGCTACGCACCCATAACACGTTACATATAGTAGATGGGCTAACTCATGAAATGTCAACCGAAATTCTGAAAAGCGTTTTCGTTTCGAAATGATTAACTAAATGGAGTTAGAGAACTAATCATCAAGCAGCCTAATTCTATTATAATTCAGTTACTCCAGTATGCCTCCTTTTGAACGATTTCTTTCCGACAGCATGAAAAAGCTATATTCTGCAAAAAAATGACTACTTAAGTAGCATGCATTTTTCTCATCGGTTTTCGATGCCCTTAAAAATTCAATTATATTTCATGGAAAACATGAATAACAATATACATTCTTTTACTCATTCATTAGAAAATTACGTCTTCTTTCAACTTTATACTCGATGGAAGGGTATAATTCGGTTTTCCAAATTTTTTCCAATTCCCGAATAATTTTGAACCCGACCTGCAGTTACACTCGCATTCAGGGTTGCCAGACTACAAACCATATATCTTCCGCGTATGGAAAACCATACGTTTCCATACGGTATTAAGTGGACACCATATGGGGTTCATAAAATTCAGCAGTGGATTTGAGCCATGTTGTTAACTTTACGAGCGACATTGGTAAATGCAGAGACATGGCATTTTATGAACGGTCATTTCACGGTATTAGAAAATCGCGCAATTATAAACTTTTTTCAAAAACCGAACTATACCCTTCCTTCGAGTATAAAATTAGAAGAAGACGTAATTTTCTACCGATTTAATAAAAGAGTGAATATTTTTATGCACGTTTTCCATGAAATATAATTGAATTTTAAGGGCATCGAAAATCAATGCGCAAAATGCATGCTATTTAAGTAGTCATTTTTTACAGATTATGGCTTTAGCATGCTGCCTAAAAGGAGTTCTTTCGACAGCAGACATGCTGGAGTAACTGGATTATTATAGAATTATACTGCTCGATGATTCGTTCTCCAACTCTATTTAATTAAACTTTTCGAAACGAAAACGTATTTCAGAATTTCGGTTAACATTTCATGACTTAGCCTACCTACTGTACCTGGGGGTGTGCTGACACGCCCAGGTGAAGGATCGCTTCGCCTCAGCCACATGTGCCCTCTCCTGTCACCGGTTCTCTTTACTCTGCCTTGGCGGCTGGCCCAGGAAGGCGGGAAAGAAGAGTGTGTGGTAGACGCAGTGCAAGTCTATTGTCATTTTTAACTAAATCACGCACAAATCACTGTCCCTGCGCCCACTCGGCTCTGGGGCACACCGTGGACGTCATTGGAAACGACGTTCGGAATTTCAGGAGTACGGAGAGTCTACACAGCGACGATTTGAATATATTATTTTCTTCATCCTCTAAGCGTCAACGTAGTCATCACATTAAAACCAAAACGGGAGTCAAATGGACTATCTCGTCTCATGGGGCGCAGGTTAGGGAGAAGTAGAGAAATGCCACAAATTTTTGCGATACAACGGGACGACCTTTAATCTTTCAAAGCAATAATTGTAGAAGCTGCTACTTGAAACTTCGCAGTTCCCATATTCTACATCCTTGATGTTCCGAAGACCTGAGTAATCTTACAAAATAATCCCTGTACTTCCCTGAAGCTCCTGTATATCCTTCCTCTTCGGACTTTTCTTGATATATTTAAGGCGTTATGAAAAAGATTGGTCGTAAAGCCCTAGAGATCCCAGTTTGTTCGAAGGAGTCATTCTCATACTTGGGCGCTTGACGAGTGGAATTACGATTAGAGAATCATGTAGCATAATGATCGCAATAGAGGCAAGAAACGAGAAGCCATAAGTAGACTAGTTAAGTTTTTTGTAGCAAGATATCAGCTTTTCTAGCTTCGTCTCTGGCTAACCCGAAGGTGTGTTATGGTGTGTTGACTTTTTTGTGCAGTTTTCATATGATGCCCATTGATTAATTTATTTTGCTATGTCCTGCGCGGGAAAGGTTTTACGGTTAACATATTTTCTCTGATTTTAGGTGTCCGCTGTTCTTGCACAAGTGGTTATATGGCTCTTGTTTTCCAAAAAAGCTAGTTGCACCTTCAGTAGCATATTGCGTGTTCGAAAAAAGCATGAGTTTTGCAAAACCACTAAACTTCATTATGAAAGCAAACTATTCTAAAGCTTACATAATCACTTCAAATATTAAAAGTTAGGACCAGAACAACGGCATGATCTTATTAGAAAATATTTTCGGAAAGTTTAGCAGTGAAAAACAACAACGTGACAGTGTTGTTTTTGCATGTAGAGCCAACGGTCCTATCGTTATGCATATTCAATGCACGCAGATTGATTACCCTCCGTAGTTTGTTTGTCTCTGCTATTATATCTAGGCTTACTTTTCCGACTTCGCTAACTTAACAACGTTCTATCTAATAAGATGACAAGGTAGGGAGCGTGCATCACGCTTCTTCTTAACGTACAAAATAGCCGCAGTTGACACAAACTTTACCGCTTATGGTAAAGTTATGATCGATTTCACTTACCTGTTCAACTTGAATATCCCAGTCACTGCAGATTCGCCTTTTGTACAGGTATTTAGCCCTGAAAAAGGATAGAAAATATATAATACCCGCTTTTAGGGGAGAGCATGCAAAGACGATGGCCACACGTCTTTTAATAATAAAAATTAACTTGTAGTCCCCTGGGGAATGTTCCAGCCGACCGATATTAAAGTCACATTTGTCCGTTTGTCTTCTTCTAGAAAACTCGTTCACCACAAATCTCTTAAGCCTATTTGAAAGTCCCGCTTCTCGAATACGCATAAGTGGCGTTTGACTACCGTAAGTGGGAATACCAAATTGTCTAGGTAACAGGCCGTATGGGGGAAACGTGGATGTTATTAGGGTTCGCAATTGGTTTTGTCACGCGCAAGTTAGGGATTTAGGTTAGTAATTTCATACAATCATTTTGGCATAGATCAGCTAAAATTTTGAAACCGGGAAGAGAGAACGGCCACCGCTGATCAATTTTTCTTCCGTACTGGCACTTATCTGGATTCCCCATGATCTACTGGCAGTGTAAATTTGATACTTGAAGTGCATGGCCACATTGCAATGACTTCCTGTTACTGCGTCATCCATTACAAGTTCGCAGTATTTCACAACCGGGCGTGTGAAGTCTGTTTCGGTTTTGGTGGAAAACCGACAGGGAAGCGCATGCGCAAAGGATCAATGTCAGATTAATTATCATGCTCAGTCTGATATCCGGTTTTCATGAATTAGCCTTATCAATGGGGGAAGCTGCAGTAAACTAGGAACAGAAAGAACCCCTCGCTGTGCAATTCTTTTTGGTCATGATTCAATTCGGGTTTTGCCTACTGCCGGGCTAGTGACGACTTTCATCCGATCTGACGAATCATTTCAGAAACTGCACCATTTCCTCTTACACGGTTCGGAGATACTCGTCTTCGGATAAGGATGAGGAGGTCTAGGAGTGTTATTAAAACTCCTGCAATCGAAGCATAGGGAATTGTTCTTGAAGAAAATTTCTTCCTATAAGCTTTTTCCCCACCTACAACGATTTTATCCGAGCTGCCCTACTTGCCTTGACAGAGAGAAGCGAGTTTCGAGTATACCCAAATAGACTCTACTCAGTGTTCTAATTTAGATCGGCAGTTCACCCTCCCCCTTGGTTTGAGTTTCTGTGTTTATGCACCCGCCATGGCTCCTGTGTTCAACCGAATCAGACTTCATCTGATAAGGCAGTGAGACGAAACGTCCGATAAAAATGGAATGGAATTATTTTGCTAAGTGTGATTTCAAAGTGTCTGAGCCCATTCTATGCAAAATTTACTTTGCCCCTTAAAAGTAAGTACTTTGTAGTCATAGATTTGAATGCAAACTATTCAAGATAGTTCTGTCGACTAAAAAAATTGAAATACAAGGAAAATTGGTCCTGCTCAAACTCCTAAAGCAATTACTGTTCCAGTTCTCGGGAGTATGTGCGAAAATAAACAGTGCTAAAATGGAATGGCACTGGAACAACGCTACGTACTTGATATGGAGTATTTACACCCCTACCTTATTCACACTTTTCTGGAATGCAACAGCTGAAAAGCAACATAAAGGCCTAATCTTTTCGAATTTGTTTGAGCTTCCTGTTTAAAGAACGTGAACTGATCTGCTTTGGAAAATATGTCAGGCCGAATATATGAATTGCTATCATCAAGCTACATAAGTGTTGAACTGAATGTGAGATCTTAGCTAAGTCGTGCTATTTGTTTCCTTGTTTTATCTTGCACTGTTGTTGCACTTCTTAACTTATCCCTGTAGGAGACGCAGCCAGAGACGCATTTTCGAATGTTATTATTACACTCAGTACTCAGCAAGTGTAATCAAATTACAATGTGCTATCCGATGAATTTTCATTATCAAATCTCCCGTGAAATCTTCGAAGGGGTATATCGTCTACTATTGTTCACGTTTTGCGGTCACAAACATTCCGCTATATTTCGTCTCCGATTTTCTTTATCCGTGCGATATGGGAGATTATCTTGTCAGGAAAATAGTTTCCGGAATGCTTGATAGAGATTTCAATGCGTTTGTGTGGTCTTTCAGTTCAATTTACATGAACCATCGTTTGGCTTCTTCAGTCTGTGACCGTAAATGACCGGTTTTAGCCTCAGATTGCAAGAAACTTTATTACTACTCTCAGAAGGGCTCTTGAAGCTCGTGTCTATTTCTTAAGCGACGGAGTTTTTTCCAGAATGGCTGATAAATGGGTTGACAGCAGAGTCATCCGCACCTGTCTATAGTTTAGAATACTGCCCTGGAATATATAACAGCAGTAGACGCGAACTTCTTATGATCAACATAACCAAATGATCAGGGCAACGGGCTCGTGGCCCGGTGAATAGAGGCGTTGACTTCTAAACCAACAGGTCGCGAGTTCGAGGCTCGGGTGTTCCACACTTCGGGCTTGGGTATGGCTGGCTGACGACGGCTAATAAGCCAGAAATGGCCATTCCAGTCTCCCTTGTCTTTGTCGGTAATATCATTCTGCCTATATATCACGCGCCGCTGTGCGGCTGCTGGTTGGGCTCGAGAGAGAGTCCATAAGGCACAACGGAACGAGTGAGTTCCGTATGAACGATCGGTGAGCGCCCACTAACATAACCAAATGACTTTTCCAGATACCCTGTCGTTTTTCTGCATGGAACGCCGATTTTGCAACTAGCAACTTGACATTTTCTTGTGTTATTCAATTTCAGCTTTGGCAAGGATGAGCCGACCATGCTTTCCGAAACGCCAGCACTACAGTAAGCCCGCTTTACTGAGTCCTTCCATTTGTCGAACTACCACCCCAGAACTCTTAAATTTGCCAACCAGTGTAATACTTATATTTGTTTCTACAGACGTTAACGGTGGGGAAGTACCTTCAGATATGGTAAAGTGGAGAAGATGAATGTTAGCTGATGACGGGGACCTGAGTTTTCATTTTCTTGTATTCCAAACGCATCGGGGACTCAAATAACCAACATTCAGAAAATGTCAAACGATTTATTTCGACCGTCGAAAAAAGTGATCTCCACCGCATGCCCCACAGCAAGGTAGACGTATAACAGTAACGTACGTGTGAGTTAGTATTTAGCGATGACAGACTTTCGCAGCACACACCACACTTTCTCCCCCCCCTTCCAACCACCTGACTCCGTGACAAGGCTGTGTTAGGACGGTCGCAGGTGCGCTCAGACTGCGCCAGGCAGTCCGTCTACGCAGCCCACACACCTGGTTCGCGCAAGATAGATCAGGTTTTCATGCAGAAACAGAAGGCAGCACAGATTTCATATGATTAGGGTGTCATAGAGGTCGCATTAAGAATGAATCGTCGCAACTTTACATCTCGCTCTGAAAGACTAAGTTATCTCGTCAGTTGGCAGTCTTCCAAGCCACAACTCTGGGCGCGTCGCGATGGGTTCAAAGCGAGTCAGGCTGTTTATTAGCGAGGGATGTGCCGAAGTGCCGCGGGGGAAAGAATACCCGTAGTCGACCTCACTGTCTTCTCACTCTAGTATGTACTACTCGGCTCTCCGAGCCGGTCAGCCATCTGATGTCGAGATTGGACACGGACCTCCGCCTAATCGCACCATCACACTTCCCAATGTGCGGCATTCGTTTTGGGATATACATGCAGGTTACCGCGCGCTACACCTTAATCAGATCCCGTATTGGTCCGGCTCATCTCCCGTGTAGTCTATGGCACGAGATACAAGCACACACACACGATAGTTCGGCCGTCGCATCCGACGATGTTCACTATGTGCTCCACAGCAGGGTGGGAGCTGCGACGGTGACTTGTGCGAAAATCAGTTTATAGTGATAGTAGACTTGCGCAGCATCTACCGCACTCTCTCCTCTCCCGCCTGGACCCGGTGTCAAAACAGAATCAAGAAGACCGGAGGCGGAGGAGGGTGCAGGTGGATGGCATCGTCGAGCCCGCACCTTGGCTTTCCACTCCACACCTCGTAGTCCACACAGCAGATAACAAGGTTTTTTGACCAACAACACCAATGGGGTGGCAACAGGGGTCCCAGTGTGCGCGACTTCTGCCGGCAACCAGGTCTGCCACCTCACCCCGAAATGTTGACATTTGTTTCGGTGCGCAAATCTGATAACGCCTACCAGAATCCGATATGGCCGCTGTGTTGGTTCATCGCATCTACCACATGGCCCGTTTGGGAGCACAACACATACACACACCCGTAGCATCACCTATAACTTCATTGCGGCGCTCGGCTAAGTGGAGGACGGGATGCGAGGTGGCGTGATTGACAGCACATGTGGTGACAAGAGGCATGGGCTGGGCGCCCGAAGGGGGAGAGCTTCTCTCCTGTTCTCACACATTCACTCTCCTATCCTTCTCAATATCAGCACTCAAGACGGTAATGCAGCAAGCGCGCAGTCACAGGAAGGGAGAGAGAAGCGACTGTCAATTGTTTGCGTACGAATGTTCGCAAACGGAGTGTAAACAGAGGCATATCGATTTTAGTGGCTTGGTTGTCCGTCCATCGATTTCGACTATGTCCACCATGTGCTCCACGGCATGATGAGTGCAGGAACAGTGACTTGCGCGCAAGCTAGTTTGAAGTGATAGTGGACTTGCGCAGCATCTACCGCACTCTCTCCTTCTCCACACCTAATTCCGGTGTCAGGACAGAGTCAAGAAGACCGGAGACGGGAGAGTGCGCAAGTGGCTGGCACGACAAAAGCTGCCACCTAGGAGTACCATCACACCCCTGATACACAAAGCACACTAATCAGGATTTTACACACAAAAAAGAGAAGAGCGCGAGAAGGCTTAACCCCATTATCAGATCCCTGCGACGCAAAACATGTAGCTCACTGAATAAGTTGCGGAATCGGAAGTAATCGTATTTATTGCAACGAAGGGAGGTACAGGTAATGTGACAGAAACCAGGTGCGAAATGAAGGACATTTTTATTCCCCACTGGACCCGACCGCTTACAAGGGCTTGGACACACTAGAAGCAAATTGGTCTGTGCTAAGTGAGTACAAATCTAACCAACACTGAGGTCAGGTTACGTGCCTAGGCAGTACTGATTTAGGCCATGTAATATTTCGTTTCTCAAAAATGTTTAAGTTTTCGTTCCATACAATCCGCGTCTTCAATATCCCCAAAGAAAATGCGTATACGTAGTCCGTTGAAGGGAATTGATTTTCAGTGGGTTGACACAAAGACATTCAGTAACTGCGATGGGCATAAAATTGGAGATATCGCAGAATATTAAGTCAGACGCTACTGTCGAAATCCTTAAAGTAACCGGTGATCTCAATCAGAAGTACGGTACACAGTAAGTCTCTGTTTCCGGAAATATATACGACAAAAAATGCACAGTAATGAGTGAAGACGTTTGGAACGGTGTAAACGCTTGAGAAAATGTACCTTAATAAAATTACTTCCCCCCAAAAAAACATCGCCCGAATCTTGTCGAGAAAGAAATAGATGCTGTTTTGGAAATGGGAAGCGACCACTGTTAATACATATTGGTACCGTAAGTCCACTAACGTACGAATTTTTTGTCAAAACGCACAACTACTGCCAAACATCGTGAACCACTAACCCAAATCATTTAATATGCTTTTAGTCTGGATTTTTTAGCTAGATTTGGACACTAACTGTCGATAGTTACTTTCAATGGGCAGGTGAATTTTTTCAATAGAACTTGTTGACTACCGAAAGGTATGTTCTCAAATAAATGTTCGGCTAATTCAACTCTCGTCTAATTCTTAGAAACTCTGAGGCTTACTTCGCAGTTTATTAAATAATCAATATACTACCTAAAGTTCACTACTCGACTGTGACTTCCAAACGAACATAAATTTTGTTCAGAGATAAAAATGGGCCTTGAAGGACCTTGTACATTACTTTCATAGCGGAAAAATGGATGATACAGGTATTCTTTCAAGGGAGATTGTTTAGGTATGTCCTTACGTTGAAACTGAAACTGTGCCCTGGGTGTAATTTTTGGAAAAAGTAGTTTCATTTGGTGCGCTAGATATGGTTTTTTGTAGTACACTTGGTCGTGACTATTAATTTTCAGATCTGCATTGTGCTATGCAAATGAAATTGTACCCACCAGTCCGTGGCCGGATGATCAATAACCAGCAGAATTTTATACTTTCCCCTTGTCGGCTGCAGCTTGCTGTCACTTATAATGGAGTTCAGAGTTTCAGTAGAGAAGAGTTGTCGTGTCTTTGACAGCTGTCCGGTAATTGTACCCACAAATCCCAGGCCCGACGAGCCCGATCTCGTGGGCGAGCTGGGAGCACTTGGGAAACTGACACCGCCACTGCGCCCTGTAGTCGTCTGTGCGGTATGGTTGCTCCTGTAGCCATCCTCACCCATCCGGCCACCGCCACGCACCTCATTTGGTGGCAGGTACTGATAATCCCTGATAACCTGCGTCCCGCCAACGGCGCCCACAGAGGGCTGGCTTGGCTTTGCACCAGCATAGCCGCCGCCCGATCTCGTCTCTGGACTATCGTCCTGTAGATCGGTCGATGAGAACCGACGTTTCAGATAGCTGAGCATCCGGAACTGGGCTTCTGAGTGAACTTATATGCACGCGCAGGTAAGTGTTGAAATTCGCGTACACAGGAGCAGCTCTCGTTCCCACGCAGGCACGCGAATCTGTCCTTTGCCGCCACAGGATAATTCCTGGTCTGAATGGAAGAGCCTGTGGCGATGGCTGGAAGCAGCCTATCGATCCCCTGGCCAGAGTACGGCGTGCCGACCTTGGTGCGTGCGTGAGCGCACGCTATGCGCATGAAAGCGTTGAAAACGGACTACAGTCTGTCCTTCCCGAGACAAGACATGCTGCTGAAACGGACCAACCAATGCGCGCGAGTAGGAATGCCACTGCAGCAGAACGGGAGAGGAGGAAAAGTGGGACACAATCCGATCAGCCTGTTGTATGGTGGTTTTGAGCAGATGGCGGTTACTTCGAAAGAAATTATTCGTCATCCACACTGCCCTTCGTAGTAATGTTGCTATATCTTTCGGGGAAAAAGAAACCGAGGTAGACTCGCCGATATCCCACGACTCGGCAAGCGGAAGTGCTGTCGTTCGTTATAAGAGGGTCAAGTCTGTTCTGTTAGGAGGGGGGAAAGTAAGGATTAACCAAGCATTTTATAAAAATAACCGATTTAACAAAAAAACTGTACATACTATTTTCCGGAACGCACCGTCAAAGGTAGGAGTTCTGACTTCCTGCTAAAGGTCAGTTAACAAACATTTGGTAAAAAGAGCACGCAAAGAATGGTTGATGGAATAGCCCACAGAACAAAAGTAAAGTCAAAATGCAAAATAAGTTTGTCACTTCGAACAATGTTTTAATTGTTGACAATTCTCCACCTGTGTAGTTTTGCTTTTCAGAATTTTTTAGAACTCAGTATTGGTCCAGCAAAGGCTAAATATCGTTTTTTAAAATTTCGCTTACTACTTTTTTATCTGCAAATGTGTTCCGACTAATTTTTCATCTAGTTGGGGGGCCCGGAAATGTTGTATGATTTAAATAATACTGCATTCCAAAGCCCCGAAGCGACCTTTGACCAAAAAGGGCTTCCCGACATGCAAAGTGGAATAGGGAGACATTGCTAATTCGTGATTGTTGTGGAATCAACCTCAATTAACATTCCTCACCGTAGTCTTAACCAGACGCTGAAAAAAAGCAGTCAACGGCTAGAAGCATGTTACCAAGTGTAATAAAGGAGTCTTAACTACCAGAAAACGGGTAAAAACTTTAATTGTTTGCACATTCAACTGTCAGTAAAAGAGGACTTTGTAGAAAACACAGGAAAAAAGAATACTTCTGCAACTACCGCCGTGGTAACTGATTACTTCCAGATTATTGATATATAATTAACAAACAAGTATGTCTACCACTTAAGATGTACAGAAAAGTCAATGGTACATCTCGTTTTAAGAAGTCCTTCACTTTTCCTTATGCACTTTAAATAAAGACTTAGGACAGAGACTTTGAAGCTCTGAATTTTCAGGTGGCATACTTTAGATAAGTGGATGGTTTACTTTATCTTCTGTCGGTATGCGGAATTGAAAAATCAACCTGACCCTCCTGAAAGGTCCGGACTGGGTGTTTCCCTTAATCTCAAAACTTTCTCGCAATTAGTGTGCTTAAGGCAGCATCATTGAAATTACGTGCTTTTCTTGCGCTTGCCAAGTCCTGTTTTTTATTTATGCAAATGAGCGTACCCTTGTGAAGGCCGTGTCCAATGTTACATGGTTTTATCTCGGAGTGGTGGCTGTATAAAAAATAATTCTATTTTCATCTGCAATGCGCTCGCTGATTTTTCAAGGCTACTTAGAGGATTTTTGCAACGTTCCGTTTCAGTTGCAGATAGCAGTTACTGCATGCGTTTGTATTGACAACTTATACTCAGCAGTTAGACAAGAAATGACATGCGTTTAAAAATGTCCATAATACTCCTATTTTCAGTTAAATAATTTTAGGAAAACACCAGAAACTATATCTGAACTAAGCAAAATTCCCAGAAGTTGAAAAATCAGGTTTGTCTTAAGCCAAGCGTGGGGGGTGTGGTGCATAACAGTCCAATTTTACGTATTTATGATCACCACCTGACTACAGTCAGTCCCCAGTGTTCGCTGGGATTAGGGGCTACAGCTACCCGCAAATAACTGAAGTCCACGAATATGTAGGGAATAAGCCGGATTATTGCGCATAGAATTAGGAAAGACAAAGTGGCCGCAAGAATGCAGCATGACGATAACTTGTTGTCGAAAGATTTGCCAAAGTTTTTTTCAGGTCGTATTTTTTGCGCACTAAAACAGAACGCTTTTTGATGTCATTACAAACCATTGCGGACCTTCTGAAGACGCTTAATATTCTCATTTTAATATTCAAGAAGCAAATATGCCTTAAACTATCACCGCAAAGCACTAATATTATTTCAAGTCTATCTTACAGCATTGCCCTTAAAAATAAACGGCATACAGCTACGCACGAACACAACTACGTTTGTTAATATTATTGAGTAAAAACAAATCAAGGTACCCCCTTATTCAAGCACGCACATTTTTCATGCAGTACTCAAGCCTTCCTGTTATCTTTTAACGTATAAAGTATATTAGACTAACGTTGGTGGATCCATAAGTACGGGAAACAATTAAAATAAATATAGACACTTAAAGGACATTTTAGATATGCCCTACAAAAAACTAAATCCACGAATAAGTGAATTCTCAAATACTGAACTGAAAATAGACGGAGGTTAACTGTATTTTGACCAATAGAAACGAAGAGACGAGTCCCAGGAAGTAGTCTTGAAGAAGGAGACACGATCGCCGGGACAAGAGCTTTATCAGCCTGACGTTTCGGATTCCTACTTGACCTGGTAACCGCTATCATTTTGGCTGCATACAGGCTTTGACAAAACGCGTTTGGATCTGTGGACCCTATCGAATTCCATTGCAGTCAGAGAATCAAGTTTATATCTTTGGATTTTTTCTATTTTATGAAAGGCCTAAAAATCTCATTCTGTTTTCTGAAATGCCCCGCATCCTTGTTACGATCGATAACGACGCCGGTTTCGCTTTTAACTTCCAAATATAATCTTAAAGCGCCAGCAAAAGTGCTAGGTATAACAGATATTTGCAACTTGAGACAATTTAACACCCAAAGCCAGTCTTTTTAGGGTGTGAGAAAATTCGCCTATATTGATACTAAATAACTGTGCACATGCCTTTTGATCAGTGTACACTAAAGGGTACGAAACATGCCTATATGTGCGCAAAGTCGGATTCGCTCTCAAACCGTCCCCAATGCACTATCTAAAACGTAGAATTAAACGGTAAGACCCCACATCGAAAAGGAAATGAGGTTTTAATCTTCCTCCTACATGGAAAGGAATGCTGAATCGGACTAACCAATCAGAAAACAGGAATGTTGCTGCAGCAGATCAGGGTGGAAGGAAAGGAGAGTAAATAATCTCACCAGACGGGTAAATGGGAGGTCGGTACGTATAGATAGAGGATAGTTTGAAAATGATAACTTATCATGCCCAAGAAACTTGGTGTTGACATGGGTGCATCTGCTTGTCTGAGGACAATAACCAGTCCTTCTATACTTGCTGATAGTTCGTGATGGTAATGCATCATCAGAGTTTACGGAATTGCGCTCTTTTGTTTAATCAGTTTTTAACATGTAACCATCCTCAGCTACTAGTATAACAAAGTAAACTAACGAAAATACTTCGGGAAAACATTTATTACAGCAGGTGAAGACAATTGCATCAACACTCAGGGGAGAGCGAAGGCTGAGAACAACGACACTTCAGAAATCACAAAGTTGCCTGTACACGGGAATTTTCATCAGAATAGAAATAAACGGCATAAACAGAATGACGAACTGGGCAGTTCGATAGGTATAGAAGGTCTGAAAGTCAATTCACTGATTAAATATTGTTGTCTGTTAAAGGTTTTGAAAAATTTAGAAATTAAAACTAACTCCTAAAATCAAAACTGACAAAACATATTTCCTCTTGAGGCTTCGAACAGGTTGCAATATTTTTTTAAATGACTGGAAATATTTTTTGAACCAAGAAGTATATATTGAAAACTGTTTTCCTATCAGCACAGTTTAGACGCAAAGAAAACCCTAGTAGACTACCACCCAGATGTATAATAGATGAAATCCTGTAAATACTCAACGATGGACATGTTTCGACAAATGTATATTGGCAAGACACTAATGCGGAACTTTGCCCCAATGATAGAGGCAAAAAGCTTGTCGCCCACAAAAGAAATTACGTCGGGACTTTCTCCCATCGCGAGGTGGCAATAGATAATGGGAACTGGTGCACACGGAGTGCGATACTTATAGGATGCAATTGCAATGCAAACATATTCGTCTTGCTGTTGACCTAATAGTTTGCTTGGACCGTCAACTGCGTTCTGCAAACAGTTCCTGCCTTGGTGATGGGTGTTTCGGTCTGATTGCCTGATGCTCGTCGGCTGCTCCTTGTCTGTGTGTAATGCCAGCTTCAGATGGTGTGTGTGAAGGCGTCCGCGGAATTTTTAGGTGCTCTTGGCGTGCGGAGGTCCTCGCCAAAGTCTGTGGCTAAGCGGTTTGACCTCTTGTCCCATCTTTACAAAATGACTAACTTGGAGTATTATCAATTAATGGCGTCTTTCAGTAAATACAGTTTATAATAGATGATAATGAAAACTACCAGCCAGTTTCTCCTGGTGTGCTCCGCTTCGGCAAGAGGTCGTAGAGTCTTAAATACTACTAAGTCAACATTAACCGCCCAATCAGTCACAGACGCATCTACATAGGGACGCAGTGCCGCGAATCGAAAAAACAAGGTAAGTGGACCGGAATATCTTTAACGGACACTCAGGACGAATGGATACCCCGAGGACTGCTTCAGATGGTGCATAAAAACGAAACTGCATGAGACTCAAATTCTGGAAAGCGTCCTCGTGCGTCAAGAGCTCCTCAAAATCCTCGATCGCCTCCACACATCCCCTGAAGCAGGCACTGAACACAGACT